CACACCCGCACCAGCACCCGCACCAGCACCCGCACCAGCTGTTTGGACACGACCCGGCAGTGGAGAGTTAGTATCGCGCGCGGTCTCTCTCTCCCCTAAAGTCTTGTCGGGAGGCGCCAGGGTGGGGTGAGGGGCTGAGGGTTCCCGTCGGGAGGGTCCTCACGGAGGGGAACGGGTCCGGTCCCCAACGCGGGCCCCACTTGTCACGGTGGGGCGTCCTGGCCCCTGAAGGCAGCACTGGGGCCCCTCACGGGGCTCCACGCACTCATCCGTGCGCACACAGTGTCTGATCACTTCGTGTGCACCGTCAAGCCCGCGGACCTGTGTTTTGAACGTACCGCTCAGGCTGCGAGCGTCCCGGTGGAGAGCGACCGGCTTCAGAAATGCAGAATGAACGCAGCAAAGTGAACGCCTCCGTTTTTTGCACACATGTACTCAGGGGGTTTTATTTTCCTCGTGTGATTCCGTTCCAGTTCCCGAAGAAGGGTTCCTCCTGGGCTGTGTGTTCGCGATTGCGGATTATCCCGAGCAGATGTCTGATAAACAGCTCCTGGCCACCTGGAAGAGGGTGAGTTGTGCCTGAAGAAACACAGCTCGGTCTTGAGGACTTGCGGAATGCAGACTGGCCTTCCGTCCGTTTGGCTGCCCTCAGTGACCTGCACGTTGTTGTGTTGGGAATGTATTATGGGCATTTTATTTTGACACTCTGTGACTTTGGGCAGATAGATCACTTTTCTGGGCTTCAGTGTTTCCCGCTGTAAGGGAAGCATGTTGGACTTCGTGATTCTTGAGATTCTTCCAGCTCTTAAACTCTCAGGGCCACAGGTTATTTGTGTATAACTGGGGATGTGAGAATGAGATCAGGTATTTGGTGCCCTGGGATAGGGACCATCATCCTCTGTGTGCCTTAATCCTTTCTGTCTCCAGAGGTGAGTGCCGGACAATCTTAGACTCTCCAGCTGGGAAGGGACCTCAGAGTCTCTAGTCTGTAGTGGAACCGTAGTGCTCGTATTTATTATTTTGTATGTTGGCCTTTAAGGAAAAGGAGAAGTAAACGCTTTTCCCGTTAGTGCCGCAAATCAAAACTGATTCTAATTTAAAAAAAAAAAAAAAAAGACTGTAAGTATGCTTCGGGCAGATCTTAAATGCGCTTCCCCGAAAGCATTCCTGTTGTTGAAACACTCTCCGTGTGAGACAGAATACTGGGAATGCACGAGGGGGAGAAAACCGCACATGAGTCGGAGAAACAGCCACCTGTGATGAGCAGGAGGCAGGACGGCAGGTGCAGCGAGAGCCGTGAGAAAACCCAGCCCGCTGGGTGGGGGCGGGGGCTTGAGAGAGGCCTGTGGGGACAGGTGGTTCCTGCACTCAGTCTTAGGACAAACAGGAGGGAGCATGGAGGGTGTCCCAGTGAGAAACCCTCGGTGTAGATGGGGAGGGGGTGGCAGGAAGGCACGGGCTCCCGGCCAGGCCACCCCTTCGAAGACCTTCTTCCTGTGCCACGTTACAGAAGTCGGATTTTCTCCCTGTAGTTATTAAAGCATGTAGAAAAAGGAGAGACATACATTCCAAACCATGAAACGTTGAGTTACGGGAGTGCAGGCAGGTGACTAGGCCAGTTGGGAGATGCTGGTAACCTGACCTGGGGCAGGAGGCAGAGAGAGGTGGGGAGAGGCCCATCTGAGAATCACGGCAGCAGGAAATTCTCTAAAAATCACAGAAGTGTTGGAAGGTGATGTGTAGAAACTGGCCTCAAAACAAAGATATCTTTGTAACTCAAAGACACAAAAGATAGAGACAAGTCTGCTTCTGTTTGAAGCTCCGGGATTGGTCCAGGAGGGCGCGTAGCAAGGGACAGGCGTGCCAGTGCAGACGAAGCACGGGCAGGAGCACGTGGAGAGGGACGGATGGGCACCGTCGCTGCAAGTTCGGGGTACAGAGGGAGGGCTGCCCGGAGCTGCGCCCCAGGGACGGCTCTAAGAAGCAGCAGTCGGGAGGCGTCACGGAGCAGCCGGCGGCATCTCCGGAGCCCCGAGGAAGAGTGGCTCCTGGCTTCGGATGTCGCGGCCTGTCTGCCCGTGACGCACCGCTGTGGTGACAGCGTCCTCAGGTGGCCACGGTTGGGCGCCCCCTCCCACGGAGATGGGAGAGGAATTCTCTGGGTGAGGGTGGAGGGCAGTCGTGGAGATGAGTGGAGGGAGGCGCCGGCCTCAGTTGGAGCGGGAGGAGCGGTCCCCGAGGGGCAGCTGACACGCGCTCTGATGTGACCTGATGTGCCTTATCTGTCGGGGCGGGAAGAGCTACACCGTGCCCTCTGCTGTGTAACGAGTCCTCCGCAACATGGTGACTCCCAGCAGGGAACACGTGTCACCTGGAGGGTGCTTCGTGAGTGGAGACCCTGCCGTGGCTCAGTAGGGTGGCTGTGGCCGAGGCACTCTGCTCACGTGTGGTCGGGAGGAGCCGGGCGACAGGAGCCACGGGGCCTTCCGTGGGGCTGGGGCAGCGCTGGCCTCCGCCGGGGCAGGTGACCTGAGGTGGAGCAGGGAGGAAGCCACAGTGTCTCCTGTCTGGGAAGCCGCATGCGGTCGCTGCACCGTATCCTGTTTGTCCAGCCCATACCAAGCCAGGAGGCCAAGCTCTGCTCTGAAGGGAGGCGCGTCCAGGGATTTGTGGGCACAGATACCACCACGGACGGTAGTTGTGTGTTGAAGAGTTTGGGAATGACATAGTGAAAGGTGCATAGAAAACTAAGAAAGGCAGGCGGGAGGGAGGGAATACGGCTCTTAACTGCAGGAGATGCGAGCCAGGGTGAGCCCCGCAGGAGGAGGTCAGGAGGCGTGGATTCGTGAGAACATACCCGGAACTGTCGGAAGACACGCGAAGAGCTGGCTGTGCTTGCCGCAGGGGGATGAGAACCAGTGGTGTAGAAACCACTCGTTTGCTCGCATGCCTTAGTAAGCCGTGTTTGTGAACTGCTGAAACAAAAATCGGTGAATTCTGGTTTTGTTTTTTTCCGGAGAAAGAGCGTGAGTGGGGGAAGGACAGCAGGGGAGAGAGAATCCCCAGGAGGCTCCACACCATCAGTACGGAGCCTGACCCAGGGCTCGATCTCACGACTCTTGAGGTCCCGACCTGATCCAAAATCAAGAGTCAGATGCTCGACCGAATGAGCCACCCAGGCGCCCCGACCAAAATCAAATTTAAAAAGTAAATGGCACCTGGGTGGCTCAGTCAGTTGAGCATCCAACTTTGGCTCAGGTCACGATTCTGCGGTCCGTGGGTTCGTGCCCCCCACGTCGGGCTCTGTGCTGACAGCTGGGAGCCTGGAGCCTGCTTCAGACTCTGTGTCTCTCTGTCTCTCTCTCTCTCTCTCTCTCTGTCTCTGCCCCTCCCCTGCTCATGCTCTGTCTCACTCAGGGATAAACAAACATTTAAAAAAAAATTTTTTTTTTAATGTAAATGAAGCAAGGAGTGCCTGAGTGGTTCAGTCGGTTAAGTGTCCGAATTCAGCTCAGGTCACGATCTCGCAGTTTGTGAGCTCGAGTCCCACGTCAAGCTCTGTGCTGACAGCTCGGAGCCTGGAGCCTGCTTCGGATTCTGTGTCTCCCTCTCTCTCTCTCTGCCCCTCCCCTGCTCACTCTCTGTCTCTCAAAAATAAACATTAAACAAAAGTAAACGAAGCAGAACCGTTTTGTGGGGCAGATGTTTTTTTTAACAGACCGCGAAAGTCCGTCCCTTCTGGTGCGCGGTTCTTTGGACTTTCACAAATGCTGCCAGCACCATGCAATGCCACAGAATAGTTCCCTCAGCCCTAAGACAGATCTGTTGTTAAAGATCAATTTCGGGGTTTGCTGACTTCCTGCTATTTATTTATTTATTTATTTATTTCTTATAATGGCTCTTAGCCAGGGTGGCTCTGCCCCCCAGGGACGTTTGGCAATGTCTGAAATGTCATGACGCCAGGGCGGGTAGTAGGCATCCAGTGGGTGCAGGTCAGGGGAGCGTAGGATGGCCTCCACCACGCGGTGCTGGCTGGTCTAGAACGTGAGCAGTGCGAGGTGGAGGGAACCGTGTTACCAAAAGAGAACGTTCGTTTCTCTTGTCTTTCCCTCTGGAAATTCGAGTTAAATGAACGTTGGAGCTCATTTTCGCTTAACGGCGCTGAGTGGAGAACCTGTAAATATAACCCATACGTGTATCGTATAAGTTCTGGTGAAATATACTATAAAAATAGACGATGGGCTCCTTAATAGTCTAATCGGAAACCGTACCCTGTCCTCCTGAACACACGAGGTTGATTGTGACATTGGCTCTCCTGTGTGTCTAGATAATCCAGGCGCACGGCGGCACCGTGGACCCGACGTTCTCGAGCCGATGCACACATCTCCTCTGCGAGAGTCAGGTCAGCGGGATGTACGCACAGGTGAGTAGGGCAGCGTCCCCTGTGACTGGAATGAAGTCTGGCCCGTTTTGCGGACCATCTTAGGATTCTAGTGATTGCTGTGTTTGGAAAGGACCTTTTTCTGCCTCTGAAGATAGCAGAGTCCCTTCTTTTCACCAGTCTTTGCTGGGACAGATAACCTTGTGGTCGCCTGGCCTTGACGTCTTTGAGCGCGGTGTGCCAAGGACGCGCCCCTTCTCTCAGTCCAGGGCAGCCCCGTGACCAAGTGGGGGGCGGAAGCGGGACTTGCGCCCTTGGGGGCCTTCGTGCGTGGGGCCGGACGGAGCCTCTGTAAACTCCTGCAGGGCGTGGGCTCGCGTGGTGTCCCCTCGTCTGTGGCTTCAAGTTCGTGTCTTCTCTTCTAACAGTGTTCTTACTTGTGGACAGAACCCTGTTAATACGTGTGTGATAAACAACCTCCCCGAAACTGCTCTTCAACACTGTAGCCTTTTTCTGGATCCACTTTCCAACTAAAACTGTAGAAATGCCTGTGAGGTTTTTTTTCCCTCCATGGCCGATTTTAGGTAGGCGGTGACGTCTTCTCGGAGCCTGTTCTTTTGGGGGCCCTCCATGTTCTTGCAGGGGCATTTTAATTGAATTTTGATGATCATCGATGTGATCTCATTCCGTGATTATTTTTAAGATGTTTACAAAGCGTGTTGCCTTTGCCCCGGTTGCAGGCTCCCGTTCGCGTGTGGGTCGTCACGTTCTCAATCGTGACGTTTGTCCCTTTGGTAAATCGAGGGCTAGATGTCGTGACATTCCCGCGAGGGCTTCCTGATCCCGGGAAGGTGTTGTCATAGCTGTCCAGCCTTGCGGTTTTGTGCGTGACCCTGCAGCCACAAAGCCCCAAGCACAACAGACCCGTGATTCTGTGTTTGGTAGGCGATCAGGGAGAGGAAGAGATGTGTCACAGCGCACTGGCTAAACACCGTCCTGAAGAAGAGGAAGATGGTGCCGCCCCACCGTGCCCTTCACTTCCCGGTGGCTTTCCCCCCCGGAGGGAAGCCGTGTTCTCAGCACGTAAGGGACTCGGCTTTGTTCTGTGTTCGTCCTCCTCCGGCAGAGTAGGTCCTGCGCTGCTTTCTGCCTCCCGCTCGGGCTCCCTCTGGCCCGGCGCCCGAGGGCCCAGGCGGGGCAGACACCTCCCCTCCCGTGCGCCTGGCGGCACAGGCTCCTGCACGTAGGAGAGTCTAACCGGGTCTCCAGCGTCTCAGACGCGACTTAAGGTCCCGGAGTAAAGCGGGGGTCTTGTGCCGGAGTGGCCACCGCCGGGCAGGCCCCTGTCGGTACCTGTGGGCTCTCTCACTCCGACGACCTCAGAACTGGGATGGGCAGGGAGGGTGCAGAACTCGCCCGTTCGTATTTACACGCTTAGTAGGACGGCTTTGTTAAAGTGACGTCAGCAGCGTCCTCCCGACACAGAAGAACTTCCCCGGGTCTGGTATCTCGGTCGTCTCCCCCGTCGGCTACAGACGTAGCCTGCGTCCCGTGAATAGGATGCTGCTTTCCACACTGTCGGGAGCGGCGTTCCCAGCTGCCCGCGGGAACGCCAGGTGCACAGAACAGGCCCAGAGAAGGAAGTGGCCACGGGTTAAATCGTCACTGCGTCTTGGCCTTATTTGCTCTCTTTGTGCTTAGATTATTTCTGTGACTGGATTTGTCGACAGTGACAGGGACGACCTGAAGCTCATGGCTTACCTGGCAGGCGCCAAGTACACGGGCTACCTGTGCCGCAGCAACACGGTGCTCATCTGTAAAGAGTAAGCACGCCTCTGACGCCACGTGGGCTCCCAAGTCCGCTTACGACTTGGCGGGTGTGTCAGCAGTTCGGTGTTGGTCGCCGCGTCGCGTTCCGTGGTGGGAGCCCGAAAATCAGTCTGTGGGAGTAACAGCAGTGAAGTTTGGACGTTCGCAGAGGCGTCCGTAAAGCACTGCGGTGAACTAGAATCTCAAATTCGCGGGCTTTGAGTCAGCTGAGTCGGGTCCGGGGAGTAAGGCAGACGCGGGGCTTGCGGGCGATGTGGGACCGCGGCGTGAGCCTGGACGCATCCTGGGATCGCGATCGCCAGCCAGGGGCTGCCGTCGCCTTGGCTCAGGCAGCCCTGCTGGGTCTCTGATACCAGATGCAAAAGAAACACTGGTTTGAACGGTAGATGCTTCTAGCATTTAACGAAGTGTGTTTTTCCTCAAAACCAAAAAGGCCTGCCGGTTTGAAGTACGAAAAGGCCAAGGAGTGGAGAATACCGTGCGTGAACGCCCAGTGGCTTGGCGACATTCTCCTGGGGAACTTCGAAGCGCTGAGACAGGCCCACTGCGGCCGCTACACGACGTTCAGTCTGCAGGAGCCCTTTGCCCCTACCCCGCACTTGGTTTTCAGTCTCCTGGGTAAGTGCAGTTTCACGGGTCAGGTTCATTAGTGCGGGAGCTAGACGTGCGTCCACCGCCTCTCGCTTGCCCGAGGCACCGCTGTGCGCCAGCTTCCTCTTAGTCCCTTCCCCCCACCCTGCCCGGGGGCTCTAGCCGGTTTGGTGTTCTCGTCTGCCTTTTTAGTAGATGCCGGGGATAGAAGGAGCTCTCCGCTTTTCGGTCTGGTCTCCCCAGCCAGCCCCTGCTGGTGTCCCGTGCCCGCCTGTGCTCCTGTGGTCTCCCCTGTCCTTGCCAGCTGCTCGTCCTGGGCCACATGGACCCCCGCCCTGCGGGACACGCTCTGACACTCAGCTGAATGCGCTCCAGAAAATGCCCGTTCAAGCTCGGCCTTGATAGGCTCCGTTTTCAAAATGCTCATTAAGTCTGGTTTTCCGGTGGCTTTAATCGTGGCTCTTGAGTTTGGTGTTTGGATGGCTCTTCGTTTTAAGCCACAGTCTGCTTCCCTGGGACGTGTCTGCCTGGGACGTCTCCCTGGGACGTGACTTCAGTTCTGGGAGCTTTACCGAGACCTGTGGTCGGTCCTTGAAGCAGTCAGCACGGCCGTCGTGTAGGGAGGTGTGCTGGTCCCTCGGCCACCCTGACGTGCCGTGGTCCTCCGTGTGGGCCTCCCATTGTCACGGGTGGTTGTGGTTCCCGGGAACGGCTTCCGGAGTGACGCCAGGGTGGGCTGGGGGGCGGCTCCGCTCTGGACACCTGTGCCGTGCTGCGTTCTTCGTGTCCCTCACCTGGAGAACCCTCAGTATGGGACACCTGAGCATGTCCCGCGGCTGCTCTCCCCTTACGTTGTACTGAAAACGTTTCTCAGCATAAGCGTGGTGCTTGCGTTTATCCTTAATGAATGTCCGCTGAGCCACCGACCTGTCTGATGTAACGTTACCGGCCCCAAAAAAGGGCTTTACAAACGGGCTTTTCTGCTTGAACAGTATGCTGTTGTAAATGTAACTCGTTTCTCTCTAGATGCCTGGAGGGTCCCGCTGAAGGTGTCGGCAGAACTGCTGATGGTACGTCCAGTCAGCGGCCCAGTCACTTGGGCTGTCCCTGTCTTACAGGAACGCGGTAGGCACAGACCTGTGTTTGTACGTTCGAAACTCTTTAAGTGATTTGTCAGCACGACGTCATAGGATGTTCAGCACACCCGGGGTCTTCGCTCCCCTTCTGTCGGTGCTTTTGTCATTGCCCGTATGTGTGCCCGGGGGAGCGCTGCTCGAGGAGCTGCAGCGAGAGGGGAGGCACGAGCACTCACAGGGCAGGAGCCCTGGGACAGCGCTGGCCGCTCTGACTCGCGTCGGGCTGCCCGTGGTACAGGACGGGGACCCCCTCACTGTGGGCCGGGCCCCGGTGGGTGAGGCCGCCGGCTCGGGACGCGAGGAGGTCGGATGCCGGCGGCCGTTGTCTCGGAAGCAGGGACGGGCGGCCACATCTCCCTCGTGTGATGCTGGGACGTCGGGTCCTGTTTTCCGTGTCATGCTGCGGTAACCACGCCGTGTGATCCCTGGATGCTGGGTGGCCGTGTGATGTAGGGGTTAGGGTTACGCCCGGGTCACCGTGTGTGTTCACCTGTCTGTTCGTATTAAGGGACTTGAGTCACGTGCCCGCTGATCTTCAGCACATCCCTCAGCACTACAGAGTTAATTGGGGGGTTGTGTCCCCGTAAACAATGAACTGAGGGGAACCCTCCGGTCAGGGTCACCCAGTGACACCCCGGCCTGTGTTCTGTGATGGTCTGCCCTGCTTGTTTTCCGAATCTAACCTGGGAGCTGCTGAGAATCGTCCGGAGTCTGTCAAGGAGCCCGTAGGCTAATGATAATGCGGTCCTGTGTTTTTTCTTTGCTTAAACTAGTAGTTATGATTTGTAAGACACGACTGGCTCTGACACACCAGCAAAAGCAAATATTCTCCTGACTCGCCCGGCTGGCAGAGATGTTCCGTGGCCTTCGGGATGAAGGTGGGAACGCGGTCACGTTCTCCCCCGCTCGGCCCCAGGGGCCTGGACGGCGGCTTGTCCCACGGCTTCGTGTGGCGGTCACAGAGCCGTGGGTCTCAGAGACTCGGGGGCCAGTTTACCTTGTTCCTCATTGCCCCCGACGTGTGGAGTTTGGAGACTAAGGAGCTGAGGGTTGTGTCCTCAGGGCAAAGGTCAGAGAAGGAGAGCCTGGCCCCGTGCCTGACGGGCTAGCGGGTCTCGCGTGTTTTCTGGAGATGCGCCGACTTTCTTTTTGGTCGTGTGGATACAGCCGGGGTGTTTAGAAAACGTGAAGGTAAATGCCCAAGATGGAGAGGCAGTGGCTTCACGCGGTAAAACGAGTGACCCGCGTAGCCCCTGGCAGCGCGGCGGTCCGTCCGGGGACGGCTTTCGTGAGCCGCCATGCGCCAGATTTCTGTTGCGGGAACAGCCGTGTTTTAGGGGCGAGATTGCAGGGAGTGTTTTCCAAATCCCACGTCGGGACAGCAGACGACGCGGGAACGAACGCTGTTGTGTGGTAGCGGGGGCGGAGGACCGCACGTGCAGCTGGGCCGGGAAGGGCCAGCCGGCGGGCAGGTGCCAGGCACGCGGGCCCCTCCAGAAAGCCCGCTGGCCCCTGGCCGGCGTCCTCCTCGCTGCCATCTAGGCGCGGCTGGCTTCCGTGTGGCGGAGGGACGCTTCTCTGACGCGGGTGTGTGGGCAGCTGCTGTGTTTTGTGCGCAGTCGACTGACATGGACACCGGTGTGATTACAGGGTGTGAGGCTACCTCCCAAACTGAAGCAGAACGAAGTGACCAACGTCCAGCCTTCTTCCAAAAGAGCCAGGTACGGACAGCCCCTTCCCGCCACTACGGTTGGGGTTCTCTGCAGGCCTGTGTTAGAAACGCTCACAGTTGGGGAGATTCCGGGACGTTTTCATAGAAAACAGGATCTTCTGACTTTCTCTTGGTTTATAACCTCATTGTGCTGGGTCTCGTGGCCGGGCCCAGAAGGGGGACAGACATATCTGTCTTTCTCTTTAGTTAAAAAAAAAAAAAAAGTTGAATCTTTTTGGTTTTATAAGTTTTATATTTTTTAAGTGTATTCATTTTTGAGGGAGAGACAGAGCGTGAACAGGGGAGGGACAGAGCGAGAGGGAGACACAGAATCTGAAGCAGGTTCCAGGCTCTGAGCTGTCGTCACAGAGCCCGACGCGGGGCTCAACCCTGAGCTGAAGTCGGACACCCAACCGGCTGAGCCACGCAGGCGCCCTGCATCTTTTTATTTTTAAGCAAAACTGTGTCCCACCGCAGTCGGTAAAGCGGCAGGCGGGAAGGGCTGGCGGGCCGCACCGCGGGAGCAGGTGTGGGATTGCGTCCCCGAGGTGAGCCCCGCGGCCCAGGCGGGCGGGGGCCGAGAGCCCCGTGGAAGGACGTGTGCGGAGGCGGTGGTCTCGCCTGCCGAAGACCTGGCTGGCCGGTGTGGGTCATGTGATTCGTAAGGCAGGGCAGGTGCAGGATGAGCGGGGACCTTTCTCCTTTCGTGACTGTGGAAAAGCCATTACTTCCAAGGCGGACTCGATGAGGCTGTCCTCCGCAGTCACCAGCTTCCCTCGCCTCTCCCCTGCTCTGCATCAGGCCCACATCACAGTCCATGTTCCAGAAGCGTTCAGGAATGTCTCAGTCATGTGATGACGCGTTTTTTAAGTTGTCATCAAAATGCCACAAACCTTACAAAATTATTTTACCTAAATGGCCTCAACTGTCAGCTACGTGAGACTGAGGTTTCATTTAAAATGCGTGCCTATCTGGGCTGATGGCTCGGAGCCTGGAGCCTGTTTCCGATTCTG